TGTAAAATTGGGATTCCTACCCCAACCCTAGGGGCCAGGGCGGGGCCCCAACGGGAAAATTAACCAATTTTTCAAAAATCTTTTTCCCCAGACTCAGAGTCCTATACTACAGTCATTTTCTCTGCATGGTCTGCATGGATGGAAAGATCATCAGAGGCTTTATTTAAATTGTAAATTTCAGGACCCCCGAGCTATCCATTCTCCCTTGGGGAGGGGGTAAAGTTTACTATAGTTTATATAGGGAAACAACACTTTTGGGTATATTTTGACAATTTTCTGTTGGAAATTATTTTTACTTGGTCAGAATCATCTTTGGTGGATGACGGTATCACATTGTAAACTTTGAATGGCAAGTGAGCTTATACCGTACTGCAGCGTCTGGCGTCAACTTTTCCCTTTAAAAGCCTTTATCTCCTGAACGACTGATTGGATTTTAACTAAATTTGATATGAAGCATCCTTGGGACCAGGGGCTCAATGCATTTATGAAATAAGGGGGTGGCCCCCTAGGGGGTTTAGTTAGGGGCCAAAAAGGGGGAAATTGAGAAAAAAATAAAAAATCTTCTTCTCCATTTCCAGAAATGCTAAAACCAAATACTACTCATAGTTGTAAAGACCTTTGGGTGGTTTATAAAAATTGTGATTTTCATGTCTCCTAGGGGGCTGAGTTAGGGGCCTAAAAGGGGGGGGGGTTCAAAAATCTTGTTATTTAGTTATAAAAATGCTAGGATCAAATACTACCCATAGCTGTAATGGCATTTGGGTGGTTTATAAAATTTGTGATTTTTATGTCTCCCAGGGCCCACGTTTGCCCCTGAGGAGGGGGTGAAATTTAGTATAGTTTATATAGGAAATAGACAGGACAGGCCATATCTTCCATTGTTTTGAAAATAATTTGTTCATATTTGAGAGAAATACTTGATAGGGGAGGAGGGTCTGCTGGTATACATTTTGTGAGCCTGCCCCCCTAGGGGGCTGAGTTAGGGGCTAAAAAGGGGGGGGGGGGAATTTGGGAAAATTTTAAAATCTTCTTCTTTAGTTATAAAAACGCTAGGATCAAATACTACCCATAGCTGTAAAGGCATATGGGTGGTTTATACAATTTGTGATTTTCATGTCTCCCAGGGCCCCCTTTGCTCCTGAGTAGGGGGTAAAATTTAGTATAGTTTATATAGGAAATAGACATGACGGGCCATATCTTCCATAGTTTTGAAAATAATTTGTACATATTTGACAGAAATACTTGTTAGGGGAGGAAGGTCTGCTGGTATAATGTTTGTGACCCTGACCCCCTAGAGGGCTGGGTTTGGGGTGAAAAAGGAGGCAAATTTCAAAAATCTTCTTCTGCAGTTCCAGAAATGCTAGTATCAAATATTACTCATAGTTGTAAAGGTCTTCGAATAGTTTATATACTTTGTGATTTTCATGTGCCCCAGGTCCCTCGTTTGCCTTTGGGGAGGGGGTAACATTTGGTATTGTTTATATAGTAAATAAATATAATGGGCAAGATCTTCCATATTTGATTTTATAAGGAAATCCAATAATTGCGCACCACAGGAAGTTTTAGAACTATTGTGAATTAATGAGGATGTTATTAAAAAAAGAAGAAACGATCGTCCCATAGAATAGGGTCTTCAGGCGCCTGTGGACCATTAAGGATGGCCTCCCCTGTGTGCGAGATGCATGCATGTTGTGAGTGAGTGTGTGTTTTGGGGGGCTGCAGTATATTTGTGTCCCAAATTCAGTCAACTCTTACGATCATGCAATGGGGGCAGCAGGTACAATTCTAACGCCCTACCTGCAGGGTATGATAGAATAAAGTCCAATTTCTCACACTGGTACAAACTGCACAACTTCGCATATCTACATGTAGTCTTATGATCAATAGACATAATCCAAAAATATTGAAATCTTCATCAGTTACTGAGCTTTCACTTTATATCTTTAACATTTGTTATTGAGCATTAAGGAGCAAAATTTAAAAGATAATTCGACAAATGAACAGCCATCACATACTTTTTATCTCCAACCCAACTAATGTGCTAGTAATAGTATATATAACAACCTTAATTCTTTATGAATTATAAAGTCTCCATAGTAACGCTTCCAAGTTCTTACCCTACATGTGACATGATGATGTCTGAAGTGGTTACAAATTGGCATGACAGAGCAAATGTAAATATTGTGCCATGATTGCTTAAATAACCAGGTGAGCGATACAGGCCCCCTGGGCCTCTTGTTTGACATATTTTTCAGATGCGTGTTTGCTAATAAACTTGATCATAATTTGTTTTATATTACAAAAACCTGTTATACCAGATCAAAACGAGACTTGAACGTGATTGAAACCTCAGAAGAGTATATCCTTAAAACCTGCCTGAAATTAAATATCGCCTACTCGGTAACAGAACAGATAACAGATTTGTAAATGCCCAAAACTGTAGTCTCACAACAAATTCAACTATTTTTTTTGAAAAAGCCCTTATAGTCCACTTCATCATGTATATGCCAATTTTAGTGCTGATTTTTTTTTTTTAATTTTGATACATGTTATATTACAGGGGTTATTCATTGTATAAAAATATCACCCAGGGCCATCGTACGCTACTGTACACTGCTACCTTATGCATCTCTTTCTTTTTCCCAAAATTTAATTAAAACCTTTTAAATGTCTAGAAGATGACACAATAACCAAAACGATGTATCCGTTTCCTTTCTCACTATAATAGTGACCGTGTAATATGAATTCTCCTGACGGGTGAATTTTTACCAATTCTGCTCTCAAACTACCAACAAAGGGAGGTAATCTGAAAAATGAAAACCTGAATAGGTTTGTAGTTTTCATGGATAAAATTTCATTTTTGGTTATATATGATGCTTTAAGATCATGTGCATGTGAAAAATAAAATAGTACAGTGATACTATCATGTTTCTGTCTTGTTTGATGATGTCATAGTTACTTTGATGTCATCATAACTATGACGTCATCAATGGGCATCTATGACATCATCAAGGCTCACTGATATCAAAACGAATACCAGGAAACTCATCACAACAACAAACAAGCAACAGACACACTTCCTGTAACCGATGAACAGCACAAAAATGTCAGATATTCTGAAACATCAGACAAATGACACCATAGCAACCATTGTTTACTTTCTTCGACTAGATTTGACAGTGACCCCAGACATTGTTCATTTATCATATTTCACTAGAAACAAAATTGTTTTCTTCAGCTGTAATTATGGAAATATAATTTATTGACATTATTGACTTTGCTAATATAATCTGTATGCTGAATCAAGTGGAAAAAAACATATAAAATAGTGTAATTAGAATGAGAACAGATATTTTACCCATTTTCAATAAATACAACTTCATGTATTAGTTACCATGGATACCATGTGCTGAACTGAGTGAAATAGACTGTAATCTAATCTGAATGCATCAGGAGATAGCCTGTGAATTATTTGTTGTTTGGTATCAACTTTACAAATTACACTATTGACACATATGTGATGAATTGTGAAGTGCCTGTGAAAAGAGCGAGTTACCCCCATTCATACATCCTACAGGTGACCTATATATTGACCTATATATGTAGCTTTTTAAAAGTTTTTGTGTAGTTTTAAGCAATAATGAATGAAAGTGAAGCTGAATCAAGCATAAAAAGGCATTTTTTCAGAAAAAATAAATTTCTATGTGTATAAGGTAGTAGTGTACAGTCAAAAAACGCCAAAATATGCAAAAACTCATAATTTTTAACCAAAAAAATTCTGTCCAAAGAACGAAATGACGGACCCACTTCCGTTCGGGGTGTGTGCGCATAATTCATTCTTGCATGCTTCCACTCAATCTGATTAAAATCATATCCTACGTTCTCTACGTATCACGTGATACGTAGAGAATGTAGGATATGATTTTAATCAGATTGGCTTCCGCTATATAGTTTCGTTATCATAGAAAGTAGAGTCTCTGACACTCACCTGTGGGTTACATAAAGTCTTTTGATACTCTTCTCCAAATAATCATCATCCATACTTTAAATAATTGCTGAAAACAAAATGTTTATATCCGGTGCATTCTTCGAGTGTTGTGGTGGTGAAATTCGTGAACTGGGTTTGAGCATTTTAGCAACTCGGATTGAGGTCTGAGGTATTATAATAGATATTGATGCTCAACGTGTTACTGAAGCAATTAAATTTAAAGTGGTGAGCAGCTTTAATGTCACACTGACATTATTCTAGTTTTTTGAATTTTGATACATGTTATATTACAGGGGTTATTCATTGTATAAAAAAAAAATCACCCATGGCCATTGTACGCTACTGTACACTGCTACCTGGAGGTATAATGTTTAAGGGAGATAACTCCAACACAGACTGGAAGTATAATATGTAAGGGAGAAAAGACTGGAGGTAGTAGTGTACAGTAGCGTACAATGGCCATGGGTGATATTGTTATACAATGAATAACCCCTGTAATAAATATGTATATATATGTAGGTGTGTTGTGAAGGTTGAATTCACTATCCATGTTTATGTGAGACATGCCCTTTATATTTAGGGTCAAGCCATTTCTACTGTACACTGCTACCGGAGGTATAATGTGTAAGGGAGATAACTCCAACACAAACTGAAGGTATAATGTGTAAGGGAGATAACTCCAACTCAAACTGAAGGTATAATGTGTAAAGGAGATAACTCTAACACAAACTGGAGGTATAATATGTAAGGGAGATAACTCCAACACAAACTGATGGTATAATGTGTAAGGGAGATAACTCCAACACAAACTGGAGGTATAATGTGTATGATGTCATTCGAATAAAATAAATATAACAAATATTAAACAATATAGATAGTATATTTTACATTTGCAAAATGAAGAGTAAATGAAAAATATTGATATATTCTCCCATGTGAACGAAATGTAAAGAAGTTATATATATAAGGAAATTACCCTGGGTACTCTATATTAGTGTTCCTGATTTTTCAGCTAAACAGAACAACCCGCGCCCTACAATCCGTATCTACACTGACCATAGAGACAACTCCACAGAAGATATGGGGTCTGATCTTTGGGGTAGGGAGGCAGCTGACGTCATCCTGTCGCCGGAGCAAACCTTTACAATTGAGTGTCGGGGCGTCTACAACGTGACCATGAGATTAACAAGGAGTTTCCATATATTGGTAAGCACACCAGAAACCAGGGCTCATATTCATGAACTGTTCCCATTGCTCAAGCATGGATGATGTGCTCAAACCAACTTTCTTGTAACTCACTTTAAATCATGTTTGTCAAACGATCATAAAGTCAGATGAAAACATTCAAAACAGTATTCAGCTTTAAATCTCTTCATTTTTTTTTCCAAATAATTGACACAGTAAGATTTTTATTGTTAATTTATAACTGGAACCAGAAATTAGGCTTGAGCACTAAAACCATGCACGAGCATGAGAATGGTTTCATGATTACAGGCCCTGGCCTTGTCAAGGCTTGATATCAGAAAAATTCTAGAAACATTTTAACACTAATATTCTTAAATTTCCAATATTCCTTTCATATTTTCTGACTTTGATTTCCTGCATTTCATCCAATTCAGGTAACTGGTCCTCACTTTCTAGCATAAATTCATCTATATTTTACTATTTCAGCTACCTAATGAGGAAATATAGCATTTCAAGAATAAACAATATTCTAAAACTTAAGATTTTTTTTAGATTTCTTGGGCTGAAAGAAATACTGTTTTCATAATTATTGACCATTAAGCCCAGGCAGGCCAGTGGATATGTCCTGAGTTTGAACCATGGATTTTTGTTTGTGTTTTTTTCTTTTCTTTTTTCTTTATGTCAAATATTCAGATTTCGAACAACTTTAATTCTGTAGAGTGCATCACTCATTGTGTTTTATATTGAATACTTCCATAAAAATAAAATGAAAAAAAAAAACTCATGTTGGTACTAGTGGTTATAATATATTTTACCTTGATTATACTTTTTACCTTAAAATTGACTTCTGTCTGTTGCCATTACAGAACTCGCCTTACACAGGTCTAAATATTGAAGAGCATCGATTATTACAAAGTGTCAACAACTCGGCAGCCAACTTTACTGTGAGCAATATAACTTACCTCTATACAGGAGAATACACTTGTTTATATGTCGACGAATTCAGAGACGATCTGTTTAGCAGTATTTATGTCTATGTATTTGGTAAGTATACGTGCATTATATATCTAATATAGTTTTAAATTTAAAAAAAAAAGGTATTTGTATGCCCCAGTGTGTTTCATACTTAAATAAGATATGATGACCCACTTTGTACAAATATATTGCCATTCATTCATTTGTATACCAAAATTTGTCAGCAGCATAAGTTTGTTGCTGTTGCACTTAATTAACCACCATTTTGCTAAAATGCATTTTTAAAAAGAGGAGTGTCAAAATAAGGTCTTATCAACAGAAGTAGTGGAGATTGAATTTTTGAGGTCAACCGTCAGAGTTTAAAGGTCATACCTGCTATGAATATTGTTTCACTCCCACTTTTGTCAGTCATAATTATAAGCTTTGTGATGCAGGAGATAATTGGGTAAAATTTGATGAATATTTTTATGATTCGTGATCATTTTTATGTTGACGTTTTTAGTACAATGTTCACCTCAACCAAAAGGTCAAGGTGACACATTTTTGACCCACTTTGTATGTTCTAGCTTATAGTATCCCCTTCCTCTGGCCAATGGTCAAAGTCACTTTAAGATCCAAGTAAAAAGTGAATTTTATTTGTTTAATACATAACGCTGTTTTAACCTTTTAAGGAGTTGAAAGGTCATGATCATGGTCATTGGTTTTCCATATTGCACACAGGCTAAACGTTTACTGATAAGTGAATGGAATAAAATTTGAGAAAAAGAAAGTTTGTAGTACCATTTGTGGTACAAATTTCCTTAAGGATCCCTGTCCCACTGCACTGTCGTTTTTCCTATGTAGAGAAACCTCCCCTTAAGGATTCCTGTCCCACTGCACTGTCGTTTTTCCAATGTAGAGAAACCTCCCCTTAGATTTCATTTGGATATAACTGTAGCACATGCAGGCTCATAAACTTCAAATGTCCAGGTAGCTCAGTTGGCTTCAGCAATGGTATAACAATCTGAAGTCAAGAGTTCGAATCTAGGTCTAGCCCCGCAGAACATTTTGTACTCAGAATACGTTTGTTGGATATATATCGTTTGTTACAACTCCATCATGTTTTAATAAAAGTACCACAAGGTTTTCTTTTCTTTCAAAAACGATTTATAAGAATTGTAGTCATGCCGGAAAAAATGAAAGTTTTGAATGCATAGTTTCATTTTCTGGCAGTGGTTCGGGGAACCTTAAGTTGACAAACATTTCTGTTAATGATTTCAGATCCTGACCATTTACTCACACCTTTAAAAATGGAAAACAACAGATTTGTCAGTTTGGCAATTTATCACTATCAGAAGACATACATTCCGTGCAGAGTTACGCACCCTGAAATCCAGGTGGATCTGTATAAATTGTACCCCGACGAACTTATTGAGACCGGAGATGCAAACGCTGTTTACTATGATCCACAAAAAGGTTTTGTCTTGGATTATCCGAATGCTTACTTCATTGGAATGTTTGCCTGTCGATCCAACTACAGTAACTACACAGATACGAAACAAATATATCTCAACTACCTTGGTAAGTCTACACGAAAAAACAACTGTCTCAGCCGTAATGTTATCATTTCCAGCTTTCTGAGTTGAAGCAGAAAACATGTACCAGAACTGATGAATGCATACTTCATTTGATGTAGCCTTCTGAGATCAGGGCTGGTAATCGTGAAACCGTTTTCACACTCAAGTATGGATTCTGTGCTTAAGCCTTAATTAGTTCCTGTAACTTGAATTTTTGTGACACATTTTAACTTCAGTGTAAACAGTGAAAACAGTATTTGCCTTTAAACCTCACCAAAACTCTTGTGAATCATTTTGACAGAATGTGAATTTTTACTAATTGAACACTTGAACAAGAAATTGGGCTTGAGCACAGAATCTGAATATTGAACAGTTTCATAAATACGGGCCCAGATATAAGCTTGTGTCAAAATAATAACATACACGCAAATGAAATCGAAGAAATTACGTTAGTTCTTTGAAATGAACTTTAAATGCATTCATCTCCTGGTTTATTTTTATCTATATACGTTTTATGTTGTACCTGCCTAAAACCAGTAAATATATAGCATTGATGATACGACAAACCATAGATATAATTCAAAGGAAATTAACTCACTCACCCCTGATATTTTCATAAAGAACTATTCCAACCTTTGAATTGGAGGAATTCAAATGAGTCTGCACGGGTTAATGAGTTAAATCTCAGTTTTAAATTTATGGTCAGTGAGAGTTATTGCTCTTATCATGTGCTTTTATATTCGCTGCATGAAAATTTACATTTACTGCCCAAGATATCTATATTGAAAACTATAGCCCTGAGTGATGAATTCAACATATTGTTAGATGTTTTTTTAATGTGATAAATATATAAGGAAGCAATTTACCTAACTATTTTGTTTTTAAATAAGAATGTATAGAACTTGTTATAATTGATACAGGGAGAAGTCGGTCAGCTCCGACACCCGTACTCATTGGATCAGACAAAGACTATATCCTGGAGAAGGGTTCCAATTTTACACTTCAATGTGAGGTCAAGGTCGATCCAGGCTACGTCATTTTCATGAAATGGATTTATACGTCAAAGGAGGTAGGTGACAACACCAGGAAACTGACATCGACAAAATAAAACTAATGTTTCTGAATTGATATTGAAAGTATTAAATTGACGTGTCTGAACACTCTGTCGATAGGCAAAACATCCCGAGTCAATGACATATGAAATTTACAATTTTGTCACATTGTTATACACTGTAAACAATGTAAATCGCTCACTCAGTCATAGCTTGACAAATGGACCAGTCAGTCTCAAAACTTTACGACACATTTATTACATAACTGTTTGTTTATTAAGCACAACTTCGGTAATATTTTTTTTGTCTGATATACTGGATCCCTGTCTTTAAAATCTTTTAAATTGATGAAAAAACTGCATTTCAATTTTTTATCTTTTGTTTACAAAATGTTTTCACCTTGTAACAATAATTCTTTCTTGTGGTATGTTTATTAATGCCATAGATCGTGGCTCTCAAAATTTCTTTTTCAGAAAGAGAATGATTAGCAACATTTGTAGCAGAAATGTTTCTGTCTTACTGACAATTTCTTTTTTACTAAACCAATTTAGATTAGCTGTAACCTTTCTGATTTTTATACATGACAACTTTAATTAGGTTTATTCACAAAAAAAATGATTTTGAAACACAACTTAGTGTTTTCTTTATAAGTTAGTGTTGATCAGAGCATGTTAATACTAGCCAATACCAACTGCCTTCTATACCAAACTCCCTCTTTATTGTACTTCCATCCTACCCCCCTTAAGTTTGTCTTCCATCAATAAAAGACAACATCCTGTGGCTGTTCCTTACTTATTTTCAAAATAGTTTGACCAACAATATGCTTGTACGTACCCGGTCATGACTTCTGAAATCCAATTAATATATTCCCTTCTGTCTGTGTCATTACACGGCAGCCATATTGTTTTGTGTCCCTGTGTTGTCTTGTCATGTTTCGCCATCACATGGCGGTCAAGGTCGACCAAGGTCAAATGAACCATAGACTCTGTCATTATGGATAATCTGCTTTGACTTAGTTTAACTCTTGATAATGGGTATATCTTTTAAATTGTAATGTCCAATTTATATTTAAATTCGTGTATCTAACATTTCTACCACTCTTAAGGCTACACTTATTCCCCTTATACTTATAGGAACTGTTTCTGATGCTTTGCAGAAGGAACAAGTTAACTTGGTTTCGTAGGAGTTTCAGAGAAAATTATTCTTCTCTATATATATGAGATATCTCGAGTCAAAAAAATCCTAGGCCTATTTAAAAATGTATGCCTATTTATTTTGCTGAAATTTCAAAGAACTTTCTACCCCAAGTAGTAAAAGAAAAAGTGTATTATTTCATTTATCATCATAATACACATTTCGCTTTGAAATGGTTCAATCAAGAAAAAAATAACTTTGTCAAGAGCAACTTTCACAGAATCTGATTTTTAAGAAATTTTTCTACAAGAAAAGAAAGTCCTGGCAAAATGTTTTCACCTTGTCACAATAATTCTTTCTTTTGGTATGTTAATTAATGCCATAGAAATCTGCCACGTTAAATTTTTAAAGGTCCTCTACCAGAAATTCATAAGAGATGTGCCGTATGATGTAAGATGTAGGAATTCGTGTCTGCCATGAGCTAAATATGGGAAGCTCCTGTGATGCATGTTTGTTGAAGTTCAGTAACCCTGTGTTTACTTCGTAGATGTTTGTATAAACCACTCTTGTTTGTGTAGACCTTGGAGGATATTGATCTCTCCACTGACTTTGTCTCCCCTGATTTGTCAGCCGTCAATAACGACACAGAGGTACGTAAAAATAACCTGCGCATGCAGTAAGTAATTGGTAATCTATTTGGTTTCTGGGTTTTAAAAATTGAAAAAATTAACAGCATGAAGATTTAACTTTTATTAAAAATATTTTTACTTTTTTTTAGTGATTGTTTATTATTTAAAAATTAATTTAAATAATTATTTTTTATTTTAATTTATTGTTCTGATAAATTTTTAAATATTTGCTTTAGATGCTAGATTTTTGTTGCTATATTAGAACATAAAATCAGTTGAAACACTAATAAACATTAAGAATGCTTCTAACATTAAAATATATCAATTTTTTGTTGCAATCAAATTCCTCTACCAAGACTTTGATTCCATCAATACGGTGGTATCTGACTTTAAGCTAGTCCTAGGTAATATCAGAATAAGAAACCAAGTTTGATGAAAAAAGGAAAAATATAAAGAGATTGCTTGATAGAATTTGGTTTTATTTTATTAGAAAGCTTTGAGTGCTTCTGTCCAGAGTTAACTAGATAGTTGAGGTTTATTTTAAATGATCCTTAATTGATTAAAACTATTACCACTGGGGCTGTGCACATGAGATATAGGTTCATGTTAATATAAGGGCAATACAGAATTAATTACATTGTATATGTATGGAAAGGGAAATTGGATATTGACCTATTTAATGGTCCTTTCAAATGTCTAGGAGACCAATTGCAAGATGACCCTTTTCCTTTCAAACATCTAGGTGATCAAGACATTAATTTTGAAAATGGCTGATGTATTCTGGTAGATCTGAGTGCAGACTTCAGGCGAATTGGTGATACTGTTACAGAGTTTGCATGGGTTTTTCTGGCAAGGTGTGTGAGGTTGATTCTCAGAACCGTGAATGTGTTTGAAATGTGTTGATGCAAACCAAATTTTGTAAGATTTGCAATTTATGGAAATTATTTATGTGATTACTTGAAAATTATATAACACCAATGCAATTTAGCAGATGAATGAAAGCAAATTGTGGATATAGTTTAAGCTGCAATGCATTCTGCAGATACATTATCTGCAAAGAACATTTGTATAGAAAATTGTAAAATTGTGTAGAATTTGGCAGAGAAATGCTGTATGGTAGGAGGGTGGGGTATTTATTTTGCTATCCAACCATTATGTCCCTTTCTTTATATAAATAATAAAAATACTGGCCGCCCCTATACTTACAAATCCTGTATCTCATGTGTCCAGCTCATGACTAATACATATAATATGATATACCCGGTAATGTCAAATACTCTGTTGATATTTTAAACTTTCAGCCCCATGATCAGTTTCAAATCAAAATGATACCAGTACATAAATTAGCATACAGTATATAGGAATCAAATATCAACATCTGGTGCCCTCTAGTGACTCCGACATGAACTAGTTACAGGAATGATCAATTGATTTTCTTTGTACACAGTTGTGAATCTTGAAGAAAAGGATCTACAACACTGGCAATACGTGTGTATAGATTTGACAGTTATAAATGAATTTCATCAAAAATAAAATTTACAAAAATAAAATTAAAAAATCGCACTGTTATTACTGATTGTAGTAATATAATCTACTAGAGTGCATGTATGTTGTTTATTTGTTGTGATGCTAATACAAACAAACAAAAGTGGAAAAGACATGCCCCCACCCCTACCCCTGCAACCCAGCAGTCCCTTCCTCAGGAATGACACATTCTTACATATATTGACCATGATTTCCTTTGTAGACGGGTGTTGCTGTTGAAATTGCAGCCCCAGCACCGGTAAGCATGCATCACGCATGTAGCCTGGTTGTATTGCCTACGGAGCTATTATCTCCACTCCAGGAATCTTTTTTCACCTGCATGCATGCAACACTGATTATATACTACATTGCACAATTTTACATTTCATATGAATGTATTTTATTTCATCCTTTTTTCCCCCATGATTGAAAGATTCAGTTTTGGCAGCGTAAAAACAATAAAAGTATCTTTAAGGTTTTAGTTATTATTAATATTTTGTTTCAGCTTTTTAGGTCACCTGAGCTTTAGCTCAAGTGACCTATTGCTATCCGTTTTCGTCCGTCGTCGTCCGTCGTCCGTCGTCCGTCGTCCGTCGTCCGTTAACATTTTACATTTCAAACTTAAAGTCAAGTTCTGCTGGGCCGATTGAACTGAAAGTTGATAGGAATGATCGCCTCATGGTCCTGACAAAGTGTTGTTATTTTTCGGGTCGATCAGAAATCCAATATGGCCGCCACGGCCGCCATTTTGAAAACCTATTTCAAACTTAAAGTCAAGTTCTGCTGGACCGATTGAACTGAAAGTTGGTAGGAATGATCGCCTCATGGTCCTGACAAAGTGTTGTTATTTTTCGGGTCGATCAGAAATCCAATATGGCCGCCACGGCCGCCATTTTGAAAACCTATTTCAAACTTAAAGTCAAGTTCTGCTGGACCGATTGAACTGAAAGTTGGTAGGAATGATCGCCTCATGGTCCTGACAAAGTGTTGTTATTTTTCGGGTCGATCAGAAATCCAATATGGCCGCCACGGCCGCCATTTTGAAAACCTATTTCAAACTTAAAGTCAAGTTCTGCTGGACCGATTGAACTGAAAGTTGGTAGGAATGATCGCCTCATGGTCCTGACAAAGTGTTGTTATTTTTCGGGTCGATCAGAAATCCAATATGGCCGCCACGGCCGCCATTTTGAAAACCTATTTCAAACTTAAAGTCAAGTTCTGCTGGACCGATTGAACTGAAAGTTGGTAGGAATGATCGCCTCATGGTCCTGACAAAGTGTTGTTATTTTTCGGGTCGATCAGAAATCCAATATGGCCGCCACGGCCACCATTTTGAAAACCTATTTCAAACTTAAAGTCAAGTTCTGCTGGACCGATTGAACTGAAAGTTGGTAGGAATGATCGCCTCATGGTCCTGACAAAGTGTTGTTATTTTTTGGGTCGATCAGAAATCCAATATGGCCACCACGGCCGCCATTTTGAAAACCTATTTCAAACTTAAAGTCAAGTTCTGCTGGACCGATTGAACTTAAAGTTTGTAGGAATGATCGACTCATGGTCCTGACAAAGTGTTGTTATTTTTCAGGTCAATCATAAATCCAATATGGCCGCCACGGCCACCATTTTGAAAACATATTTCAAACTTAAAGTCAAGTTCTGCTAGGCCGATTGAACTGAAACTTTGTAGGAATGATTGACTCATGGTCCTGACAAAGTGTTGTTATTTTTCAGGTCGATCAGAAATCCAATATGGCCACCACAGCTGCCATTTTGGTAAACTATTTCAAACTTAAAGTAAAGATCTACTTGGCCGATTGAACTGAAACTTTGTAGGAATGATCGAATCATGGTCCTGACAAAGTGTTGTTATTTTTCGGGTCAATCAGAAATACAATTTGGCTGCCATGGCCGCTATTTTGCTACTAAGTTCTAATAGGCCGATCTCACTTAAAATTGGTCTAGGAATGATCAGCTCATGGTCCTGACAAAGTTAAGTTAACATTATACTATTTTTTACTCAAATTGGTACATATTTCAACAACAAAAATAAATACTATAGACTCAGGTGACCGTTAAGGCCCATGGGCCTCTTGTTGCTTCAGATTTCTGTATTCCTGCTGTCTTGGCATATGATGTAGTTTTTTTGTTTTTGCTGTTTATTTGGACTTTGCTGTTATCTTACTGCTTTTTTGAAAAAAAATTACAACTTTCAGCCAATAATATTATAATAAATTAATCTTTGGATCAGCGTCAATCACTGGAACATTGTATGAGAATCTCAAGTCTCTGGCAGCAGTGATTTTCAGGCCCAAGAGGACCAGGGGTCGACACTTGATGTCGTATCAAACAGGTTTTTTCTTCTTCTATCATAATCCTAAATGCCCTGCCTGAGGTCAGAGGATTGTAATAAAAAAAATTCTTAAGGATCCCCAAACCACTTTCAAAAAACTATTAAATTTTGGAAACTTTTTTCATTATTACCGCTATAGCTTTGATAAATCATAGTGAAAAGAAATCATACCTTGCAGGACTTTTATGAAAAATAATGAACATGAACTAAACAATATATAATTAACAACAGTTTCTGAGTGTAAAACTTGGGCGGGGCTAGACCAGGATTTGAACCCTAGACTTCAGATAAACATACTGTCACTCTAACTGATTGAGCTGTCTGGTCAGGGGAAGTAAAACATACTGTCACTCTAACTGATTGAGCTGCCTGGTCAGGGGAAGTACTACTGTTATATCCAAGTGGAAATTAACCCTTTCATCACTGTAGACCATATTAGACTCTTCCAGATGAATGTATGGTAGAGTCTACTCAAGTTACCTAGGGGTGAAAGAGTTAAGGAGAGGTTACTGTATATTGGAAAACCAGAGTGCAGTGGGACAGGGATCCTTAAAAGAAGCGTGTTTTATCTCCTACAAATAGTTTCTCACTGTTTACAAAAAACTAGTAAACATATTTTAACACCCCCCCCCCCCCCCCCAAAAAAAATAGTAAAAGATTCCTGTGGATGGGATTAACAAATAGTCATTGTACATATATATTTATTAATGTATTATAAAAATAGATTGTAAAACTAAATTTTGCTTTTAATAAATGTTTGTAAAAATTAGTTTTTTTCTAATTTTGCTGAAAACAAGATCTTCACATGAATCATTGTAAGCCAAAGCATTGAAACTTGATGCAAATATTTTGTTTAAATATTCCAGGGTCATTATGTATTTGTAAAGGCTGTATGGATACATATTTCCATCTCCTTACCTAGAGAGTTCTGCTGCATGAAAGATGTCAAATATCTGTTTCTAATAGTAATTTAGACTTGGCTATAATTAATTGATGTCAATTAGTTCAAAAAAGTTGTGCCTATGAGAAAAACTCAAGCTTTTCTGAATATCACATGTGTTATTTGAAAAAATAAATAAATAAATGAAATGAGTAGGGAGAGATAATACTAACATACATTTTATGTCTAAGATGACATCAGATTCCTAATAGGATATGTATTTCCATTACTGTAAATAAAAATTATTAACAGTGACTGGACATATTGCTTATGAAAGCCATATGCTTTTGGTTTTGCATGAGTGTGTGGTTAACTGTGGAATTTTAATTTTGTTGTTTTTGCATGATTTACAAATAATTGAAAAAAAAATGTGACAGAAAAAGAAGAAAAATACTGTAAGAAACTCTTAAGAAATTTCTCAGTACTTCGATCTACATTTAGTTTCATACCTTGTGTAAGCTTTCTTCTTGTAATGTGTGCACTACGCCGTAACGCCACTTAGTTGAGTTGTCCTTAACAGCACCTTTGACAGAGGTATCGGTTGATACTGAAATGTAGCATTACTGCAGTAATACATTACTGTTTGTGTAAAATTATCTCATGTTACACATTATTTTTGAAAAGTGCTTGAAATAAGCTCTTACAGAATACACAAATGGAGGATGTCCTTACTTCAATGTAAAAAAAATATATTTTTTCTTTTAGTATCTTTATTTTCTTTAATACAACCAATTTTAATTTTGATTGGGGTTTTTTTCTCAATATTTTGTTAGATTGTTAAAAGCATTTTGAATTTTCCGAGTTTCTAACAATATATCATAACATTGTATAATGCATTTTGATTTTTTCTTTCGATATACAGTAAAATCTGTCTAGACGAACCCTGTCTGATTTGGACACTTGTTTATTGTGGCTTTAATATTAAATTCTGGTATTTATTTTCCTAAGTTATAATTTGTCTACCATATTTAATCCATACCCTGTCTTCTCTTTTTAAGCCTGACTGTATAAATCTGTCAAATATTTCAGTACAAACCAGGCTTTATATAAATTGGTCAAAATAATTGGTATTTTCCAGACTCTGTATAATTAAATCAGCCAAATATATCAGTCCCAGTCATGTCCGGTTTAGACAGGTTTCACTGTAATGTATAACGTATGTCTACACTAGTAATTCTAGAACACACCGATGGAATGGATTTGGAATGTAAATTGCCATAATTAACTTTTACCGATGTTCAGTGAATAACCTTACTAGTATGTTTTTCATTCTGAATTTTTAATCTGTATGTATTCTAGCAAATATAATAATTCTTAAAGCATGTTCTGTTGTATTTGAAAATGTATTTTTTATAATATAAGATATTTTTGATATGAACATATGTCTATGCACTTACTGTAAATATATCTTTTAAATCATAAATCTATCAATGAAAAGAGAAAAATCTTTGATATTTGAACAAGGATGATAAAATAAGGGAGATAACTATATTAAGGATGGCAATGCTGAGAACGATACTTCTTTGGGATTGTGACTCAGATTATCACCAATAGGAAATAAAATAAAAGTAAAATTATTTGAGTTTGAACATTATTTCCAATAAAAACAAAATGTGAAGATAGAAATTGTACAAGAATAGACAATTGTGTATCGAGGTTAATATTCTAACATCAAAAGGTGATTCATGACTCGGGCTAAACTCTCATGATAAGGAATGTTTAGCAGATACTTTTAACACTTAAATATCTTTTATTGCAGACCCTTCCAAATGTATTCATACATTTATCAATCTTTCGTAATATTAAAGATTGTGTATTATTTTGAATTAATCATTTATCACAAAGCATATATATATACATTCATTGTATATCAATATTATTCCACCATATCAAAGTTGTTTGAATACACAATTTCATATAATGATTTTTATATACATATATTATTTTCAGGGTTTAAATTTATTTCATGTGACTGAGAGTGAAATAATTTAATCTATACAACGCTCTTTCAACCATGAGATAATTCCGCAAATACATGAACTATACCAGGAAGTTTTAAATTTTTATTTATAACCCAGGCGATGAAATCTTACATTTATAAAGCCTTAAGTTCAACACTGTGTTGATTTTAACTTTTACAAATAAATGTGAAAACAAATCTGCATGAATCGTGTCCTAAATGAATATACAGAAATTATCTGCAAATATTTAAAAAGAATTTTTGCAAACAGAACATATATGTAATTTAAAAATTGATTCAATTGAATTATAAATTACGATTTTTCTTTATTCGTGAATATAAATATCTATATAATGACTTTCCAAGAGTATTTAGAGCTACCGGTACATTTATCTGTCATCAGTTTACACTGTTGAGTACTGTACCACTCAAGATTTAAAAAAAAAATGTCACTGAACACTATCAAAGAATTACAGACCAAATCATATCCCATATACTATTCCCATAGATCATAGTGTTATTAATTCAACAGGCCATATTATTGGACATTCCCATAGACTATACAATTAGCCATATTTTAGAGATCATAGCATTAGCCAATGCCCATAGAACATAGTTTTAGCAATTTCCCTTTGAAAATAATGTTAGCCATCTTTATCTTTTTATCAAAGACCTAAGGTGGTTAGCCATTTTCCATTATACCATTTACATGTATCATCTGAATAATACCACTAAGCAAAAATACATAACTCACTGTCTCAAACAGATATAACGGCTTCACTGTTCTGGCAAGTGTAATTTTCCATTAAATCCATGTTAAAATGTTAGTTTAAATTTCAGTTTGTCTTGAAAACTTCCACTCATAAGTAAATAAGTAAGATTGTTTTTTCTGTGCACCATCTATTCCGTCTTTGCGTATTGCAGAGTGTTATCTGCTCTTGAGAGCAGGTATTGATTGTTATGTCATTTGTCTGTGAGAGTAATGTCATCAATTTTTGAGAAAATGACTTTATTTTCTCACACAAACCAATGACGTAACAATCAATACCTGCTCTCAAAGGAAGATAACTCTGCAATACGCAAAGACGGAATAAACTTTTGTCTGTTTTCACATTTATAAGCCCAGCAACACTTATTAGGCTTTTTAAAGCATCTTTGTCTATTTTTGAATTAGTACTTGATTCCCCGTGTTAAAAATTGTATCGGTGTATCTGCTGATACTTTGATATAAGATATATATGTATTGATTTAGTGTTTTCACTATTGAAATTCTTAGAACGATGCCATTAATCCTTTGACCCCTGAAGTTAAATTTAGACTCCTCCAAGACCATGAATTGGACAGTTTACTGTGAAAATCCAGGGGTGAATATATTAATATTTATATATCTAAATTTATTTCTAAAGTCTCACTCAAATTTTTATTTCAATGAATTTTGTTTCCTGATAGGTTTCGGATCGAGTGAGATACACAGCACCGACAGTCAAACATATGAGTGATATTTATAACTATGACATCATCAGGACGTTGCTGATTGTGCGTAACGTACAACTAAAAGACGAAGGAGTATACACCTGTCAAATTACGACACACGACAAACAGCAAAAGACTGCCTCCAAAGATATCTACATCAGAGGTACCGAAGGGCCATATTGTTACCCCTCTAAAAATTACATCTATCAACCCTCCCACATTAGGAGGGAGACCCCCCTCAAAATTTACCAATCTCCCTCGAAACTCATCCAAGTCCAAACACAAACAAAATCAAAATCTACTTCCTGTGGTAAAATGATCTCCTAGTTAGTGCAGGGCGTGTGTCATGATCATAACAGGTGAGTCTGAACCAAATGGACAATTATTTTGATACATAAAATGGGAAAGATTAAATTGAGCAAAGCAGTTTCTGTCGTGTTTCATGCACTTTCTAACTCAATGGAAATGCAGAATGAGGGAGATAAAATATTTCATTCCTTTGTCTTGATTTCATGGATTTAATGGAAGATATTTTGATAGATGAAAAATACATTGCAAGGAATGCATACCCTTTCGGAGGACTGTGTTTCATCTCCGTTTATTTTTTTTAGTTTTACGATATTGATCCCTTGTTTTGGTGTCTCCTGAATTCTTATTGAGAATTTAATTGTAAATCTAACATGTTCTGATCATTGTAGAACCATACTGCCATGTACATGTATTGGGAGAGAAGCACGTTATAGAAGTAGATGAGTTCGAGAAATACATACGACTGGCCTTCGCCATCAACTGTCACCCAGACGACTTCACGGTCAAATGGTACAAGGAAGACTTTCTGCTGCCTTCGAATGTCGAGTAAGTCGGTCTAAGGGAGGTGACTCTGTAAACTCCAAAGCTTACCAGCTGTCATGAAATGTTGTTCAGCATCGCGTCAAACATTTTCGCGATTTGTCCAGAATTATTCTACATTTTATGTGTGTTTACCCTTAATTGTTCTAATTTCCTGTCACTGAATATTATTATGACATCTTGCAATTCATTCCAAGGGGAAAAAATGAAAATAATGTCAGAAAAGTACCGGTCAGGTCTCTTTCAGGTTGAACAATTGAACAATTATTGACTTGCATGAAATGCATCAAACATAGAGTGAATCAGGAAAAATCAGAAATAATTATGGCAAGATGCTGTATATAAACCTCAAACTGTGATGAAACATCACTGATGTGGATTTAGAATTTTGAATTTAAGACAGAAACCAATTTCATCACAGGATTTTGATTGATTCAGTGAATATTATAATTGTTGTTATTGAAATATCCCGACCCCTAAAGAAGCCCCCTAGGATCCACTTCAAAATTCCATACTACCTAGAAATATAATAATAAGTTCAGGAGGCAAGATAGTATAGTGGTAGGACGCCAGACTCGTGACCAAATGGTTGCGGGTTCAAGTCATGTCACGGTCTATGTACAAGATACTTTACTCTGCTTGTTTCAGTCTACTCAGCTGTAAATGAGTACGTGGTTGGACAATGCTTGAATTGTTGAATGCTAGCTGTGAGCGCCTAAATGGCAGCTCTGGCTGTATGCTCCCCAGGGAGTTGAGAAAGATATTGGCTGGTTGCAAAGGCCCTATAACCAGGGATATTAATTTTTGAACTGATTTGAGACGACCTAGGACCTAGGGTGTGATAAAGCGGTATATAATAACCTCGAATTATGATAATGATTATTTTTCTATCTGTGTTGCTAGTTGATGAAGACTACATTTAATGTTTTTGCTTGTTTTCAGAACGGTTGAGGATGCCACCCAGTACATCATAACAAACGTGTCAAAAAGTGATGCCGGAGTTTACAAGGTCATCGTCGAGAACAGTTATCTGTCAGAATCAGCAAAGGTCGAGCTGGTCGTAGCATGTAAGTGAAATGCACGATAACTATCCCAGGGCGCTCTAGTTTGGAGGACAAGGCAACATGGAGGCTGGCATTAACTCACGATTGTACTCTATATACAAGTCCTGTTTACTTGTGTTTACTTTTTTGACAAACTATGCCTGTTGGTTTTGTTCGTGAATATTTGAATTTGTGATAGAGATGACGCTATTCATTTTATTATTGATATTACTTTTTGTACTTCAGACAAGAATAAAAGTAAATGCTGTTAATTTTTTGGTTTTTTTCACTATCGTGTTTTACTTGAATTCAATTTCGATACAGTATCAATGTCTAAAAAAAATATTTTTTAAATGGAAATTTCTATTTAATAGTCGTGTTATTATGATCTTTCAAAGCATAATTTTCCAAAACACTGAAATTTTTAAAGCATTCTAGTCATACGAAAATACAGCAAAACATGGTTACTGTGAAAATAGCATCCTTGCAATCTTGAAAAAATATTATAACAATATTCAAAATTAATACATAGGACCGAAAGAGCAACAATATCCAGATCTGTTGTTTATTAAGGGTTTAACTGGCTGGCTGGCTGGCCATGCAGGTGTCATCAGAACCAGCCGAAACATGTAAATGGTAAATAAACCACAGAACCTTGATGTTGTTGCTCCATCTGCCCTATTGTTTGTGTTTATCTGCCTTGATGAAGCGCTAGTGAATATCGTTAGGTTTCCATTGTAGATTCTTACAACCAATGACTACCAGGATACTCATTTGCCCAAACATTGTCCGCTCAATATCTCGAGTAGTTTCCACGGAGCAACTTCAAACATCATAGGAAGGTTTATTATCATGATAACTCGGACAAGTTTGATAACCGCAATTATTAACATGTCCGAGTATAATTTACTGTAATTTACGGAGTTATGGCCCTTTATTCAAAACGTTGTCCGCTTGAGATCTCCAGTAGGTTTCAACAAATTAACTTCAAACTTAATAGGAAGGTTCATTATCATGATAGCTCAGACAAGTTTGATAGCTACCATTGTCCAACCGTAATATATGGAGTAATGGCCCTTTATGTACAACCATACAGACAACTGCTCATTCATTGTATGACAGACTTATTATGTTCCGCTTTTGAGGTGCCCTTGTTACAATATTCAAACTTGTTGTTGGTGTTGATGTTTACAGATAAGCCTGTGGTGTCCATCACGGTCAAGCCTCCTTCCAGTCGTCAGTATATGGTGCTAGGTGACACCTACAGTGTGTCCTGTAACCCTGTGTCCATCCCTCCGGTCAGCATCATAATGTGGGAGTGGCGCTCTCATCAGGACAACTGGAAAACACTGGCGTACCACAACGATTCGGACATCATCACTGACCGGCGAAGCTCTCTACAGCATGTCGCAACAGAGGCTGGAATCATTCGCTGTCAAGCTACTAACAGATTGGGGACCAGCTCGACTCAAATCGAATTCAAAATCTCAGGTTTGTTAGGATATGTTTTCATTAGCAATTTGATCAGTTTTTGTGTGAAAGAGCTTTAGAGTAATATTTTGAGTAATATCAAAGTTTTACTTTATACACAAACAATGTACGTATTAAACGTTTCACAATGTCATAGCTTGACAAAGGGACCAGTCGATCTTGAAACATTTTGACATGTTTAATACGTACGTTGTTTGTGTATAAAGTAAAAAAATTGATATTTGGATGTTGATATTTATCTTGAAGAAACAACATTTGTTCTTGGTCGGTGAAGTCTATATGTAGAGATAGCTTATGGTAAAAATATTTGATGGAACTTACATAATAACAACTTATTATTTCCACATGTGTATGGCCATCGTTGTTAGATTTTACCTTTTGTTTGATTACTGTTGCCTCCAGTATGACCTGAGTTGGTCCCTGTTTGACTTCTGCTGCCCCCATTGTGACCTCTGTTTGACCTCATCTGTTTTTATCCCCCGCTTTCACCGAAACGAGGGATATTAATTTGGGTCTGTCAAACTTGGTCACAGGGTTAAATGCCTTAAGGGCTCGACCAAGTTCGATGGCCACTTTCAGCGGACCCCATTTGACGGAGTCATGGCCCCTCAAATAATGAAAAATGTAAATATCTGCTGCGTTTCGTTTCCGTGCAAAAAACCTACAACAAAAGTTAACCGATTTTCTTCAAATTTGGTCACAGGGTTAAATGTCTTAAGGGCTCAGCTAAGTTTGACCCCATTTGGCGGAGTTATGGCCCCTTTAATAACCAAAAACGTCATTATCTGCCGTTTTCGTGCAATAACTGCAACAGATGTTATCCGATTGTCTTTAATCTTAGTAACAGGGTTCAACGCATTAAGGGCTCAGACAAGTTTGTCAATCACTTTAATCCGACTCCATTTGGCAGAGTCATTATCTGCTGTTTCCGCTTAATAACTCTAGCAAATATTGGATAAGGCTTTTTTTTCTCGAGTTTCAAGCTATACATTATGTCTCAACAGCACGATACTCACATGTTTAAACCTAACCTCAATAATGTTTACCTATAATATGTCCTGAAAGCAGGGGATATACATTCCACGAATTTGCTTGTTGCCTCTAGTTTAACCTGTCTACTCACTCTACTGTATGCACTCTAATGTTGTCTGAATAATCTATGTAACCTGTATGACATTAGTTACCCATGTATGACCTGTCACATATTCGACCATCTTTGTCTACTATACTCTAATGTTGACTGAATAATCTATGTAACCTGTGTGACATTAGTGACCCATGTATGACCTGTCACATATTCTACCCTCTTTGTCTACTATACTCTAATGTTGACTGTATAATCTATGTAACCTGTATGATATTAGTTACCCATGTATGACCTGTCATAGATTCCACCCTCTTTGTCTACTATACTCTAATGTTGACTGAATAATCTATGTAACCTGTGTGACATTAGTGACCCATGTATGACCTGTCACATATTCGACCATCTTTGTCTACTATACTCTAATGTTGTGTGTATAATCTATGTAACCTGTATGACATTAGTTCCCCATGTATGACCTGTCACATATTCGACTCTCTTTGTCTACTATCCTCTAATGTTGTCTGTATAATCTATTATCTGCTGTTTCCGCTTAATAACTCTAGCAAATATTGGATAAGGCTTTTTTTTCTCGAGTTTCAAGCTATACATTATGTCTCAACAGCACGATACTTACATGTTTAAACCTAACCTCAATAATGTTTACCTATAATACGTCCTGAAAGCAGGGGATATACATTCCCCGAATTTGCTTGTTGCCTCTAGTTTAACCTGTCTACTCACTCTACTGTATGCACTCTAATGTTGTCTAAATAATCTATGTAACCTGTATGACATTAGGTACCCATGTATGACCTGTCACATATTCCGCCCTCTTTGTCTACTATACTTCTGCCTGTTTGACCATTGCTGCCCCCATTGTGACCTCTGTCACTTTTTTGCACCCCTGTATGGCCCATATTTTATCACAATTTCACTTTTTACGCAGGTATAATCTATGTAACCTGTATGACATTAGGTACCCATGTATGACCTGTCACATATTCGACCATCTTTGTCTACTATACTCTAATGTTGACTGAATAATCTATGTAACCTGTGTGACATTAGTGACCCATGTATGACCTGTCACATATTCGACCCTCCTTGTCTACTATACTCCAATGTTGTCTGTATAATCTATGTAACCTGTGTGACATTAGTGACCCATGTATGACCTGTCACATATTCGACCATCTTTGTCTACTATACTCTAATGTTGACTGTATAATCTATGTAACCTGTATGATATTAGTTACCCATGTATGACCTGTCCCATATTCGACTCTCTTTGTCTACTATACTCTAATGTTGACTGTATAATCTATGTAACCTGTATGATATTAGTTACCCATGTATGACCTGTCATAGATTCCACCCTCTTTGTCTACTATACCTCTGCCTGTTTGACCATTGCTGCCCCCATTGTGACCTCTGTCACTTTTTTGCACCCCTGTATGGCCCATATTTTATCACAATTTCACTTTTTACGCAGGTATAATCTATGTAACCTGTATGACATTAGGTACCCATGTATGACCTGTCACATATTCGACCATCTTTGTCTACTATACTCTAATGTTGTGTGTATAATCTATGTAACCTGTATGACATTAGTTACCCATTTATGACCTGTCATATATTCCACCCTCTTTGTCTACTATACTTCTGCCTGTTTGACCATTGCTGCCCCCATTATGACCTCTGTCACTTTTTTGCACCCCTGTATGGCCCATATTTTATCACAATTTCACTTTTTACGCAGAGGTAGCAGATGGGTTGGGGATTGTGATGCCCCCTGTGACCATTGAGGGGGACCTGGTACAGATCTCGTGTTATGCCAGTGTGTGGGAATACCAGTCAGTCAGTCTTTACTACAGGAGGTTTGGTAACTCTACTCAGACCAGACTGGCAACTACTAACACCACCTACGTGTCCTACAACAGGTGAGCTAATGTTTTACCACTTAACCTATCTTTAAGGATGTATGCTACTTTACACATTTTGCCAGTGATTTGTGTTAGAGTCCTCTCCCTTGATAACTTATTAGAGCTATCTGCTAATTCAGAATCACATAACTATCATCATCACATACATAACTGTGTTTATCAAGTGTGATTTGATTAATAATTCCAAATAGCTGTTTATGACAATTGCTGCAAAAATTTCTTAGCATAGAACTCTTTTGAAAAAGGAGGTACGTTATACCATCAGTGAAATTATCACCCAATCAAACTTTCACCCTTTGTTTGTGAAATCCAAATATTCTCAGTGTTTATTTTGCTTTTCACATTTAAGTAATAACTAATGATTAATTCGCCCTTATTTCAGACAGCGAAAAATTTAATTGCGGTGAAAATTTCACGATATACATGTACAGTAAATGGACTTATAAGGTAGCATAAATCCTTAAGATGAGATTATATTTCCAGAAATATTAATGCTTCCAACACGCCAGGGCAATAAAAATTGCCATAAAAATTGTTGTACCAAACAAATCAAAGAAAAAAATATCTAAGGTCTGATTATACAGGGCCAGTAGGATCGGTTTGTCGAAATTTGAGTCTACCTATACGTTATTAAGTGTAACGTCATTAAAATAGGGGTCAAAGGTTACACTGCTATATTCAACCTGTTTTGATGCAGCAAGATGTTTGTTTTGTTGTAAATAAAAAAATGTAATAGTTTTCCTGTCAATCACCATATCATATGATTTATACATATGGCAAAGTATACTGATATTTCTTTGTACTTGTGAAAACAGTATGTATTTCGGTTAATGCTGATTTTTGTTTCAGAACGGCTTATTCATCTGTGGTTCATGTTGATTTTGAGCCAATAGAGAAGTCAGACGAAGGTAGCTACGTATGCGTTGCTGTGCGGCTATCTACTGCCCAAAATGCTTCTACTGACAATGTGACTGTTGAGAAGAGACTGGAAGTTAGAGGTATGATATTAATATCTCTTACCCTTCACAGGTGTGTCTCTCGTTTAGCCAGAAACAGTGCACGCTGAATTGTGACATCATGAAAAGTGATAGCTATATTCAAGTGTATTATCACTGGTACTGCATTAAGTGTGAAGTGCACTGTTATTGTGTCACAGTGACCTTGAATTCCAAGTTGCTTGATTCTGTATGCTTTGATATTTCAAGTATAAAAAAGCAGCTCTGAGATGAAAATGTCCTTGATTATTTCTGGTGGATTGTACGGTACCCTTTACCTTTATTACTCAGATATCTCTTTTTGTTTCAAAAGTCTTATTATGAATTTTGATTAATCTTTGCTTTCAATCTAATCACGTTTACAGATATCGAACCGCCAACATTTCAACAAGAAAGTGATCAAGGCAAAATACCAACTCGTATCGGTATCAAATTCCAACTTCCCGAATGTGATGTCAGTGGTGTTCCAAGACCAACGATAAAATGGTTTAAAGACGGGGCCCTGATAGATCTGAGCAATAACACTTTTGGTTTTGTCATCAGCAATGATAATAAAAGGTATAGTTGTAGAGATATTTGTGCTAAATAATTTTATGAAAAAATGGCATACATTTTTAATGACACCATTTAGCAATATAATGATTTACACATAGACTTCTTATTTCTACCTTCACTTCTGTGCATGTTTTAAAATCATTCAAATATATGATGATCTTGCAAATTGAGATTCATTATTATCAACTGATATTTTTTTCAATTATTCGCAAATTTATGTTGAATTTTATTTTCTGAAAGAAAAAAGAGAGAGTTATCTCCCTTGTAATATTTAATCTCCATATCAGGGTAGAGTTATGTCTTTTTTGTGTATGTTTTGTAAGTTTGTTCCTGGATTCTGTAGCTTTGATAAATCATATCTGAAAAGAAAACCATACCTTTGTAGGACATTTATGAGGAATAATGTAGATGAAGTAAACAAACTATCAACAACAGTGTTTTTAATGTAAAACTTTAACGGGGCTAGACTGGGATCGGAATCCAGGACTTTAGACTATTATACTATTGCTCTTAGCTACCTGCATGTAGTCAACTGAAATGTCTGGGACCATCTGTCCTATAGTTATATCCAAACAGAAGTTAAGGGGAGGTTACTGTATATACAAAAAAACACAGTGGAGTGGGACAGGGATCCTTGTCGTGAAAATTGAGATTACATGTAATGAAAATATATTATTTGAGTTGACCCATTCAAAAAATAGTGAGTTTTCCAAAGAACACAATCCAGCACAGTACACTCATTGGTTTTTATTACAGTTTGACTATCAAGAAAACATCTAAGGTCCACGAGGGAGAATATCTGTGTGAGGCAGAAAACAGGGGAGGAGTAATCTACGGTAACTGGTCGCTCTACTTAGGTATGCAAAACTTATTTATCTCTCAAGATTTTAAATAGTCAAAAATGTTTCAATATTAGCTATTTTATTTTGAATTGAGTCTGAATGAACTTTGCAGAAGATATTTTAACTCAAGAGTTATTTCCCTCAAATATTTCATGTAAAAATATAAAACGTGTGATTAATTGACATATACCCCTGAAATTTCATGATGAACTATTCCAACCTTTGAATTGGAAGAGTTCCAATGTGTCTTCAGGGGTGAATGAGTCAAAAGTAAATTAGACAGCTTAGGGACGTTAGGAGCATTTAGAATCAACACTGCTGCATATGTCTATAATTATGTTTTCATATTAATGTTGAATATTATCGGGCAAAGTTAAATTTGTAGTTTCCGAATAGTTGAAGGGTAAAGAAAATGTGAAAATTATCATTTTGAATTCGCAGATTATCCATTAGAGGATAGTTTTAATAACAGCAAAGCCCTGAAAACAGTTTTTTACAGAAGTATTCATCACGATTTATACATTTCAATTGACAGGAGAGTTGTTCAAGCCTGCACCAGTGTATCAAGGAAGTCAGAATCCCAGTGTAATCATCGCAGTTGTTGTCATAGCAACAGTCGTTCTCGTCGTGGTGTTAGTGGTTCTCATATGTCTATACCGGCGACGATCGGCCATCTTAGTAAGTCAAGGTTAACTTCTGAAGATGATATTGAATGTGATTGGAAGAAGCTTCTAAATGTGATATTGATCTGTGAAAAATGTTAGGAAATATCATTTTTTGCATGTCCATACATCTCATTGTGAGAAGTTATAAAAACTATATTGTATACCGGGAAGTTTTTGCTGCAGTATAATTTTTAGCCTTTTTTGCCCGCTGTAATGAATGTGTATTTAGCAATACAGCGAACATTAATAAACAGCATAATATGTGCAGTAATTAAAAGTGAAGGGCGAAATTAACACTGGGCAAATAGGGATAATTCTGGCGCAGGTTGTATTTCCGACATACAGTACATGCATTATCATAATGGCATTGTTCATTTTCTATATTTTACCAACAAAACTAGTAAAAATCTAATATTTTGATGAAACCTGGTCATTATATGTGATAGCGTTATCCCTTAGTTCAAAATACTGCAGATGAGATTGGAATACCTTTTTATTCAGAACCAAATCAAATATTTTGATTAAAGCTTGTTAAAATGTGTGATAGCGTTATTCCTCAGTTCAGAATACTGCCGATGAAATCAGAATACCTGTTTCTTTCAGAACCAAACTGTTTCTGCCTTGATTGTTCAGTGTAGACAGGTTTCATAGTACAGATGTATTATCGTATTATTTTGCCCTTTCATCTTTTAACCTTTCGACGCCAGACCACAACTCCTCAGCAGATGATTAAATACTTGAATGACATTTCAAACCTTTTCCATCTGTTCTCTTCAGCACAAAGAACTGGAGCAGTCTCTCATTCACCCAGTGAAGGATTACAACCCAGACCTCCCCATTGATGAACAAACCACCTGCATCCCCTACGATCCTAAGTGGGAGTTTCCCAAAAAGAGGCTGCGACAAGGTATTAAAAGAAGGCTGTTAATTAGTCCTGTACCTCTCTGGGTTAAAAGCTGTCAAGGATTGGTTCAATTGAAATTACCTTGACCTACTTTCAAGGTCACAGAGGTCAAATATGTTAAACAAAACTTCAAATGAATATAGAACATGCAATGCAACTTAGGGCCGTGATAATTTTCTTGCAGCTTGCTTAGAAAGAGTTTATCAAGTTCCTTAGTTTGAATGGGCTTGACTTGCTTTATGGTCACAGGCATCAACTATGTTTAAATTTGAACATACATCATGAGTGACTGAAGCCCATGAACCTCTTGTGATGATCCAATCACATTACTGCTGTTATAATAATGAATAGCAGTTAATTGTAAATATCTTTATAACAGAAAAATACAATTCATTAAAAAATTCTTTAAGTGTGTCAGTATTTCCTGTTTTGATTAGGAATGATCTTGGGACAGGGTGCCTTTGGTCGAGTGATAAAGGCTGAAGCCATCGGCATTGTGGAGCACGAGGATGTCACAATTGTGGCGGTCAAAATGGTGAAAGGTTGGTACATCTCTGATTCTTCACATTTGGAATCATAAGATGAATCAAATTATTCTGTAAAATTACAAGGCAGAGCTACCTCCCTTGTGTAATCAGTCCGTAGTGGCCAGTTTGTTTATGCGGAACAACCGGTTTGTCCGTTTTAAAATGTAACATTTTCGGGTATAAATCTTGGACCTGCAAATGTTTATGCAGGCCTTGCAAGGCTTTGTCAAGGCTCGCCTGAAAGTAGCATCAGATTACTGTGTCAAACCTTATTTAATAAACGAGCAACTGTGGTCCGACCGGTTCAACCATTTCAACGAAAACAGCCTAGATCTTTCCCCATGTTTCTTGAGTTGATGTCAGTGTTTTAAAGTTGGATATTTATTGTTTCACAGACTGTACGGACCGCGACCAGATGGAGGCTCTACTCTCGGAACTCAAGATTCTCATCCATGTGGGTCAACATCTAAACATAGTCAACTTACTGGGAGCTGTGACGAAGGACATCAGATATGGTGAGTAAGGGAGAAAACCTTCCTAGAGCTGGGACGAAGGACATCAGATATGGTGAGTAACGGAAAAACCTTCCGAGAGCTGTGACGAAGGACATCAGATATGGTGAGTAAGGGAGATAACCTTCCGAGAGCTTTGACGAAGGACATCAGATATGGTGAGTAAGGGAGAAAACCTTCCTAGAGCTGTGACAAAGGACATCAGATATGGTGAGTAAGGGAGAAAACCTTCCTAGAGATGTGACGAAGGACATCAGATATGGTGAGTAAGGGAGAAAACCTTCGGAGAGCTGTGACGAAGGACATCAGATATGGTGAGTAAGGGAGAAAACCTTCCTAGAGCTGGGACGAAGGACATCAGATATGGTGAGGAAGGGAGAAAACCTTCCGAGAGCGGTGACGCAGGACATCAGATATGGTGAGTAAGGGAGATAACCTTCCGAGAGCTGTGACCAAGGACATCAGATATGGTGAGTAAGGGAGAAAACCTTCCGAGAGCTGTGACGCAGGACATCAGATATGGTGAGTAAGGGAGATAACCTTCCAAAGCTGTGACGAAGGACATCAGATATGGTGAGTAAGGGAGATAACCTTCCTAGAGCTGTGATATAGAAATTATAGAATTATCACACTGCATTTTCAGAGTTTGTGATGAGAACAATTTTTTCATTACAAGTACGTGGATAAAATCAAGAGACCATCACACTTTTTATATGCCCATCAAATTTGACAGGTATGACAGCGTCCGTCTTTCCGGCTTAAACTTTTGTTTGTCCGGCAATCTCCTCCTACATTTTTCAACGGATCTCTTTGAAACTTGGTTTACATTATAATCATGATATGAAGTTGTGTCTCCCTTAAAAGAATTTTAATTCGACAATTTTTCCAAAAGTAATTGCTCTTCGTTCATTTCAGTATTTGATTTTTTGTCCGGCAATCTTCTCCTACTTTTTTTGACAGATTTCTTTGAAACTTAGTAGGCTAAATAATCATGATATGTTGTTTTGTTTCCTTGAAAAGAATTTTGATTCAACAATTTTTGCAAAAGTTATTGCCCTTTGTTTATTTCAGTATTTGATTTTTGTCCAGCAATATCCTCCTACATTTTTCAACAGATCTCTTTGAAACTTGGTTTACATTATAATCATGATATGAAATTGTGTCTCCATTAACAGAATTTTGATTCAAAGATTTTTGCAAAAGTTATTGCCATTTGTTCATTTCAGTATTATTATTTTTTTTTTATCCAGAGATTTTCTCCTACATTTTTTATAGTATGTCAGCTAACCACTCTTAGAATGATGCAGATCTTATTTCATTGTAAGAAAGTATATAACACTATATGGCATTCAACAGGCGTATAGTGGGCCGCCCAGCGGTACTCTTGTTGAGTATTCTCATATGGACAACCCATAATAATGAATTTATCATGCTACCAGTAGGTAGTATAATGTAGCATAAACATGATAAATAAGATATACCTAATATATCAGAAGAAAAAAATCAGCAGTTTAATTTTCAGCAATAATGGCAAATTTATCATGAGAGCATATATAACTACGCAGCATACCCTATATAGTAACTACCTTGGAAGGGACGAAATTTACACTGAGCGAATATAGATTTTATTTACTCTTGAAGGGCGGATGTTTGTCTGGACAAAAGTTTCCTGCTTTACAGAATAAATTGACGGGGGTGAGGGAGGGGTGATGGACTGGGAGCTGGGATGAAAGACATTAAAACTTTCAAAGAAAATGGGGCAGAATTTGCATTTTTACCACATTTTCCATATTCTTATTTTTAAACAAAATTGGCCACTGAAATTCACACCTGGCTACTATTTTGGCTACTGATTTTTTAGGTCCAGGAAGCACTATTTTCCATCTTTTCCAAGTTTTGTGAAATATGCACCAATATTGAGGTTACATGTTTTGATTTTCTGATTATTATATGAGATCATATTTTCTATGACATAACAAGTATTATGCCAAAAAGTTGGCCACTGATCAAAGAGAACTACAAGTTTTGCATAAGAACCCTATTTTATTTGAAATGGATTCCATTTCCGAAATCTGCATTGCAAACACTACAGAGAATTCCAGGTATATGAAATGTTCGACCCATTGCCAGTTTGTGTATACTGTGAAACCTGCTCATGCGACCAACTCCATAAAGAGACCATCTGTGTTAGTTTTGGACTTCCCGAGGGTGGTCTCTCAATACAGGTTTGACTGAGGTATGTATTTTATCTTTGTAGGGGAGCTCTATGTCATCGTGGAATATGCTCACTTTGGAAATCTCCGTAACTACATGTTAAAGAACAAAAACACATTCAAGGATGTCATGGATGATTACATCGACCCTGTGGAGGAGAAGAAACGAGAAGCTGCAAAGGAAGCCGCAGCTTCAAAACCATATTATGTCAATAAAGCTCTGAAGGATCATTCTGCTGACCTGATTGGTCCCTCCCTAACAACGAAAAATCTTATCTGCTGGGCATTTCAAACGGCAAGAGGGATGGAATATCTGTCCTCCAAGAAGGTCAGTTTATCAAGGTGGTCTTTCTACAACGTGGGAGCAAAATAATTGTCGCGTTAAGTGTACAGTACGTTAAGTGTACAGTACGTTAAGTGTACAGTATGTTAAGTGAACAGTACGTTAAGTGTACCGTACGGTAAGTGTACAGTACGTCAAGTGTATAGTACGTTAAGTGTACAGTACGTCAAGTGTACAGTACGTTAAGTGTAGAGTTAACGTACTGTACACTTAACATACTATACACTTAATGTACTGTTCACTTAACATACTGTACACTTAACATTCTGTACACTTAACATACTGTACCCTTAACATACTGTACACTTAATGTACTGTACGCTTAACATACTGTACTCTTAACATACTGTACACTTAATGTACTGTACGCTTAACATACTGTACACTTAACAAACTGTACACTTAACGTACTGTCCACTTAATGTACTGTACACTTAAAATACTGTACACTTAATGTACTGTACTCTTAACGTACTGTACACTTAACAATCTGTACACTTAACGTACTGTACACCCTACATACTGTACACTTAACGTAATGTACACTTAACGTACTGTACTCTTAACATACTGTACACTTAACGTAATGTACACTTAACGTACTGTACTCTTAACATACTGTACACTTAACGTAATGTACACTTAACGTACTGTACCCTTAACGTGCTGTAAACTTGACATACTGTACACTCAACGTACTGTACACTTAACGTGTACAGTATGTTAAGTGTATAATACGTTAAGTGTAAAGTATGTTAAGTGTACAGTACATGAAGTGTACAGTATGTTAAGTGTATAATACGTTAAGTGTAAAGTATGTTAAGTGTACAGTACGTCAAGGGTACAGTACGTTAAGGGTACAGTACATTAAGTGTACAGTACGTTAAGTGTACAGTATGTCAAGTGTACAGTACGTTAAGTGTACAGTACGTTAAGTGTACAGTTTATTTTGTTTTCTTTATTTAAGAAGAACAGACCCTGAGAGTACAAGTGACTAACAGTTAGTACTGTATTCGTTCGACAATAAGCCCATGCCCGGTAATAAGCCCACCTATGACAGACATAGTTCTGTAGAAATTATAACAAATGCTATTTCATTGCCCTGTATAAAGTTAAAAGGTAAATACAGTTCATAATGCTTTTCTTCAAGAAACCAGTGGCAAATTCCAAAAGATATATTTTGTATTGCTCTTCATTTATTATTTTTTCATGTTCACTCGCATAACAGAAATTGGCACACAGAAAATCCCTATCGGTACTTTCACCAATGCCTACTTGGAGATTACTTATTTTATTTGTACAATTAATTTTGAACTTCCTTTTAATGTGTTTTAAATGCTGGTACTATAAGCTGTCCCTTACCTTTATTTTATTTAAGTGAATAGGTCCTCAAAGCAACAGCATAGAACATGCATAGTTTTCAAACTCTAAGAATTATATTCTTTATGAGCAAAATTAATACAAATTGAATTTGTAAAGAGCTGTTTAGTAAATAATGAGCAGTATCTGTTTTAGAATGGGAAAAAAACATGCTTTTAATCATGCATTAAACTGTAGTTTTGAATTCAAATTAATGTATGATTATTTTTTTGTGTAGTACATTCATCGAGACTTGGCAGCCAGGAACATTCTATTGGCTGAGGACAATGTGGTTAAGATATGTGATTTTGGGCTCGCTAAAGACTGCTACAAAAACCCAGAGTACTTCAAGAAGGGCGATGTAAGTACGGCGTTGAATTGGGAAAGATGCATTTGACATATTATTTAGGCCTGAACAAAACAAAAGTTACAACAAAATTATCAAAGTAATTAAGCAATGAATGTTTTAGTAAATGTTTTTATGGTCCTGTAACACACATTGCTATTGATGACAAACTTAATAAAGCCTGGCAGGGCTTTATTTAAGTTTGTCAGCAATAGAAATGTGTGTTATAGGACCATAACAATATTTGCTAAAATATTCATTATTTATATTTACATTTTGATGGAGTAGTTACGCTTTATTGAGTTATTTCAAACAGCAAATTAAGTCTTGACAACAATGAAATTGATGATGTCACAATAGAGAATGGTGATGTAACAATAGCAAATGTTGTTATAGTCTCATAACAACATTTGCCTTCTCATAGGCTTAGGATAACGACAATTTGCTAGTAGCTTGTTGGCATGGAGTGCTAGAAATTTTAAAAACAAAGGTCACATATAAAATCAGGTGAGTTTCTTCAGACCCCTTGGCCTCTTGTATGTACATCATGTCTGTCTACATATGCTTAGTCAAACATGAAATGTTTTAGACTTTCTTGATTGAAGCAAAAGAGGAAGATAAAGACAGTAGAAATGGGAGAGCAATATTTTGGACAAATTTTTACCAAAGTCTTTCTGTTTCAGAGCCCTGTGCCATTAAATGGATGGCTATAGATTGTTTGTATATCTATGTTACAGGACCCTGTATCGGTAAAATGGGTGGCTATGAATTATTTGTATATATCTGTGTTCAGGGTCCTGTGCCAGTAAAAAAGATAGCTTTAGATTGTTTGTATATCTGTGTGTCAGGGCCTTGTGCCGGTAAAATGGATGGCTATAGATAGTTTAGAAATCTGTTTTTCAGGGCCTTGTGCAGGTAAAATGGATGGCTATAGATTGTTTGTATATCTGTGTGTCAGGGCCTTGTGCCGGTAAAATGGATGGCTATAGATAGTTTATAAATCTGTTTTTCAGGGCCTTGTGCAGGTAAAATGGATGGCTATAGATAGTTTGTAAATCTGTTTTTCAGGGCCCTGTGCCGGTAAAATAGATGGCTATAAATAGTTTTATATATGTGTTTCAGGGCCCTGTGCCGGTAAAATGGATGGCTATAGAGTCCCTAACTCATCGCCTCTACACCACCAAGAGTGATGTGTAAGTACCAAATTATTGTTCTTTTTTTCTTGCAGCAAACATTAGAAATATCCCCTATGCTGTCTCATTAGTGAGACTTTTTTGTCATGTCCATTAGGAGAAACATGAGGAGAATGTTTCACTTACGTTATTTGTCAAAAGGTAATTTTTTGTGTAATCTAAAAGATATTGAATAGTATCAGGACAAAGATATATATATATATCTAACATAAACATGTCTCCAATGTACTTTCAATAATACAGTTACTAGTGTGTTGTATATAGCTATTATGTCACACATAATTGTTTTCCAAATTATTTATTGCAAAAAGCCATTACACTGAATTTTAGCACCTCTCCAGAATGTGCTGAATTTTCCAATTTTACACATATGGATACCTGTATCAATGAAAAATCGCCCAAATGTAATTGAAATTGATTTATTCCCCATGTTATGATAGTGCTATAGGTACATACAACTTACCTGTATATGACCAGGTACATAAAGTTTCTCTATATTCACAGGTGGTCCTATGGGATATTTCTATGGGAGCTGTTTTCCCTAGGTAAGATATTTTCAGAAAAAGTACATTGTTAAATCAGCATTTCAATGAAAATGTATTTGAGATTCATCACTTATGAATAGTATAATTATTGTATAATGATGATCCTATTGGTTGGGGGGAAAACTTCACAAGAATTATTTAAGGCTGTATGATACTTTACACCTGTGATAAATGTCATAGTTATCTCCCTTAGAATTATTTTCATTACCTAATTATTCAGAATTGTCTGAGTGTTTTCAATGTATGTATTCATGAGTACCTTTCCCATGGGTCATCACTTTTTATGTACTTTTCCAGTGAGTCATCAATTCTTGTGTACCTTTCAAATTTGTCATCAATTTTTGTATACCTTTCATTAGCATCATCAGTTCTTTTTTATATATCAAATTTGGCATCAATTAATTAACCAAGTCCAAATTACAAAAATACTGCAGAACCTTAAGGAGGGACATATCTCTTATCTCAAATTTAAACTCACCATCAGAAGGTAAAGTAATTGGAACTTTTTTCCAAATACAGGAGGAAGCCCTTATCCAGGAGTGGAGATCAACGAAAAATTCATTGACCTTGTCAAGAGTGGTTATATCATGGACAAGCCATACTATGCCTCCGATGAAATGTAAGCAAAAAAGTGGCACCACAATGAAGATTTTACTGTAGTGATATCACACAGAGGTGGTCTCCCAAGACAGGTTTTTACTGTAACAGTAGTGGTCTTATAAAGAGGTGGTCTCTCAAGACAGGTTTTACTGGAACAGTAGTGGTCTTACAAAGAGGTGGTTTATCAAGACAGGTTTTACTGTAACAGCAGTGGTCTTACAAAGAGGTGGTCTCTCAAGACAGGTTTTACTGTAGCAGCAGTGGTCTTACAAAGAGGTGGTCTCTCAAGACAAGTTTTACTGTAACAGCAGTGGTCTTACAAAGAGGTGGTCTATCAAGACAGGTTTTACTGTAACAGTAGTGGTCTTACAAAGAGATGGTTTATCAAGACAGGTTTTACTGTAACAGCAGTGGTCTTACAAAGAGGTGATCTCTCAAGACAAGTTTTACTGTAGTCATTTCAATAGGAAAAATAAAGAAAAGAGATTATAAGACTATCATAAAATAAGATTTCACAGTTTTCAAATCATTTTTATAGATTAAGGAAAAAAGGTCCGTCAAGACAGGCTTCACTCTAATGGTTGTTAAAAAACAGCTTTTAAGACAGGTTTTACTGTTTTGGTCTCATTAATTTGATAAGTGTTGGCTAATCAGGTGAAATAAATGTTTCACTTCTTAAGAACTTTTATACAATAATTTTGTGTTGACAGGTACAAGGTAATGAAGGCCACATGGAGACACGACCCAGATGATCGACCTTCGTTCTCAGGACTCGCCTCACTCATGGGCGACTTTCTCGAGGCTAACGTTAAACAGGTGATCAGCAAAGTTTTCAGACACGTACAAGAAACAAAAAGAACCAATAATAATAGAATTTTATTCATGATGTTCATAATTTCAATAACTTGAAGTGTATTTTTAGTCTTGGAAAAAAAATCCACTTATAATAATGTCAGAATACATATGTGTTTAGCTTGGAATTATGTATTTGAGCTGTTAACATTTTGTCGAATTAAATGTTTTCTGTCTAGTACAGTCGGACTGTCCATATCGAAAATATCACAGGGAACAAAGATCATAGGGGTTAAGCTTACGTAAATATGTGAACATTTAGACCTAGTTAAAGAATCTTACTCGCTTGATCATGGCCTCATTAGCATGAAACAATTGTGATATTTGAAATATGATTTTTGAAAAACGTTAGTTTCACAAATGTGTCTGTTCTGTTGGTTGTCTTCAGGTGATTATACTAACTCCCCATTCATTTACTTTCAATACTTTTATGTTCCTGCCATAAAATGGAGGGGAGATGAGGAGCATATAGTGTTGTCCATGTTCGTCTACTCATCATTCAATGTAAACAGTTCAGCAACTTCATTCTTTGACAAATGTCAAAAGTATGCAAATACATCAGATGAGTGTGTGTTTAGGTTTAAGTATGAGAATGCCTCTGACATCTGTGTGTGTTAGGGTTCCAAGGTCAAGGCCAAGGTCACTGTTGCTACCAGTATATATAGAAAGTTGTTGTAACTATTAATAGAACATTATCAAACACTGTAACTAGTTTCACATGGCGGCAGGGGCATTTATATTTCACAGACATTTTCTATTTGAACATATAAAAGATGACACAGACAGATTTGCATTAACTTCTTTATGAAGTTGCAAGGTTTTGAACAACTGGACTGTAGATGATACAGGTTTCAGGATTTAACAGATTTAAAAGCACTATTTTGAATATTGTGCTGACTTATTTTACCCTGAATATTTAGAATATTACAACCATTTTCCTAAATTCACCGTAACATTTCATCTGTCCTATTTCAGTATTATTTGGACCTCAACGAGCCATATATCAAAATGAAGGACCTGGAAAAATCAGGGATGTCCGAGGGAGCTTGTGGAAGCTCTGCTGACCAGGAAGGCTACTACAAGATGAATGGGGAGACCAAAAACAAACTTCACTCGGACTACACTAAAATGTCCCCAGCGCCTCCTATTCCCTTGGACAAGGCTTCTATTGAGGACGAGAGATATGTTAATGCAAACAAATGGCGGACAGATAAAAAGAAGGAAAATGCTAAGGAAATGGAGCTTGTGCCTCTTATAATTGAGGATGACAACCTCGGTGAGGATGGGGATGAGTCTGAGGAGGTGAGGCTAAGGAGAAAGATGAATAAGGCAAACCCAGGGGACGAATCTCCACCACTGTTAAACACGAGGGCAGAGGTGCATCGGTCTGACGACACCGACAGCGGACATTCTAGTACTTACGCTCCGGGAACATCACCCGATATCGGTGTGGACGGTTATCTTGTACCAAAAACAGGACCAGATGGTACACAATTTGTTGAACCCAAAAAAACAAAAAAGGAGGAGGATTCAAGTGGAGTGAACTCTGATTATAACTACCGGGATCGTCCTCCTCCGACTTACTCAGCCGTGATACAAGACGGGGACGTGGTAGTGTAGGTAAAACCAGGGCTGTCTCATTATATCAAAGGCGTGTGTACATCTGTGTTGTTGTTCATTTATTTTTATGAAAAATGATAGCATTAAATACATTATATGGGTTTTCAGGTTAATTTTACATTAACAACTCTTGCCATGTACTAATTAATGACTTATAAAGAAATTAAGGAGCAATCAGGGATTTTCTCCAATTTTACTCAAATTCACATCATAGTTAAAATTAATGGCATTTCAGATCTGTTGTATTATTGTTGTAAAAAATGTTTCTTTTTATGTTGTCCATTTATTAACTAAAAAATTTAGTTTCATAGGAATATTTTGTACAATTTATTTCTTACTTTAATTAATGTAGGTTTAAAGTATTGTATGATATGGATTGTAGATTGTAATTGGTGTAATCTAATTTGTCGTACCCTCACCACAGTTGCCTTGTGTTTAACAAACTATTTTGTAATTATTTTGTTAATTGTTATTGTGTCCCAAATTTCTTTAATATGGAATTTAAGGTATATGCTATCATATTCATTATAAATTGTGGTTTGTGTTAGAGTTATGTCCCTTTAAATTATTGTAATGCGTGTCATCTAATAATCAAACCTTTTCTGGGTGATATTAGTTCAGCATCCTGGTGAATCAGATATGGTATCACTGCAAACATGTCCAAATAACCAATCACAAAGAGGTTTTTCAGGGTTTTTTAGGGGAATTATTTTTAAAGAAGGTATATATCTATCCTTAAATCTTTATTACGGGGCTGCTTGCAGTACCACCATATTGAATTTAATTGTAAAAGTATTTAATATCCTGGTTGTATGATTATTAGATTATAAAATATCTCGTTCACACAAATGCTTGCAGTACACCTGTAAGGAACAGTATTGTTTGATGTGTTATGTGGACTAAAAAAGGAATGTAATCTCTTTCACTAGGATGGTTGTTATACCCAAATCTATCATGGTCATCGATTTCAATTTTGAATTCAAACTGGACACTAGTCATATGAATTGCTCATTTTTTATAATTTGATTTCTGTTTGATATTTTTTTTTGATTTTGTAACTTTTTTGTTGATGCTTTTTAAGAAATATGTTATCAAGTTTGAAAGACATTAAAAAAGCACTGATATTTTACTTACTGATTATAGTTGGGACCAAACCTTTTTTTACAAAAATGAACTTATAACACACAAAAAAGATTATTCAAAGCATGCCAAGTAATCATGTAAAATAAATTTTAAGGTAGATAATTTGTCATGTAGGAAAGTTATCGTAACTGTAAAAACTGAATAGTTTGATTTTAGAAGAAAACATTGTACCACATACTGAATAGAAAAATATTTTTGTGAACATATTGGTTAGGGTTTTGTAGTACTTGCAGTTCTGTAATATTGTTTTTATTTTAAGTTTTAACAATTTCTTTTTGTTATAATTTGCCAAGGATTAAATGCTTTACTTCATTCCAGCATTTAGAACTTTTATTTTATTATGATTTTTCTATTACATGTTATAACTTGTGTACAGAAAGTGTTGTTTAAGTTTTATCATAATTTTTGCTGATTTGAGTTGTACAGTTTGACCAGTCAACCTTGACCGTAATGATAGGGATAACAGTGTTGACCAAATAATATACATTGTACTGTAGTTTCTGTTTGTCTTGTTTACATCACCATGGAGATTGTGTAAAACATAGCCCTAGTACTTGTCGTTACTATTATTTTTTTATAGAAAAATCAATTGCAAAAAGAAAATAATTGTCCAGACATGAGAGCACGCTTAATTTTTAAATCCCTGTTACCTTTTACTGTCGAACCTCGTTAATCTGGACACTTTGATTCTACGGGCAAATGTCTGGATTAGCAAATTTCTGGATAAACAATACAGACTTTTTACCGATCTTGACTTCTGGTAAAAAAAAAAATGTTTATCAAAAAAATATTGTAAATGTCCTTAACAAGGGTTATAGCGATTCTTGTGAAAGTACATGCATCTTCAAGTAATTTTCTCAATTTTTTCTAGGCACCTATATCAAGATGTTATATATTTTTTTCAATGACTCTTCTAGTGGACAAACCCAGGACTTCTGGTTTACTAGTCTGAAGCTCTTCCAAATGAGCTAAAAAGAAATTCTCCCTGGCTTATTATATATATATAATAAGATAATAGTATTGTGTTCATATGTTGACAAGGATAGATTTGCTAGCCACAGTCAATCGCCTTCACAACTTGCCTATGAAGAACTTGCCAGCGACACTTTGGTTGTGAAGTTAAAAATGAATTTGCCATAATTTATTAAGTCTGGAAATCAGTATTGAAGTCAGTTATTACAGCATTCACTGTATACCCCATGTACCGGTCCATACATCATCACTTATAGTCACCGAGCCATATTGGTGGTTTTATGTGTTTAAATATTATTCTGCCAAAATTATCAAATGAAAGATATGTCATTATTTAATATCTTTTTATTTTAAATTTTATTACTTGACAATCATGAGTGAATTTACCAGCTTGGTCTGTAAATATTGAAGATATTTTTTATGTCTCGAATAAATATATTAACAAGATTTGTTCTAAAGCCTTCTTCGTAAGTAGGTAAGTTTTCTTCTGCAGTAACCACCTGTCCTTAGGAACCACCTGTTTTAAGGGACCACCTGTCTTCTATGACCCTATAGCTGTCTTCCCTAATAAATGTTTAACCTTTATCTATGACCTGCATCAGTAGCCTCCCTTATTTGAACTCTCCTCGAAGGTCGCAACCGACTGGTTTGATTATTTATTATCTATGCAATTGTGTGAGAAAATATCTTCTAAATGTTACACATACTTTTTGTAATCCTGTTATATACACTAGGGCTGCAACAATACATCAACATGACGATAGTATACGATACAAATCTCGATACTGTGGTCACGATACGATACGTATCACGATAAACTGGTCACGATACGATACGTTTCACGATAATGTGGTCACGATATGATACTTATCACGATACTGTGGTCACTATACGATCCGTATCACTATACTGTGGTCACGATACGATACGTATCACGATAAACTGGTCACGATACGATACGTTTCAGGATAATGTGGTCACGATACGATACGTATCACGATAATGGGGTCACGATACGATACGTTTCACGATAATGTGGTCACGATATGATACTTATCACGATACTGTGGTCACGATACGATCCGTATCACTATACTGTGGTCACGATATGATACGTATCACTATACTGTGGTCACGATATGATACGTATCACTATACTGTGGTCACGATATGGTACGTATCACGATACTCTGGTCACGATATGGTACGTATCACTATACTGTGGTCACGATATGGTACGTATCACTATACTGTGGTCACGATATGATACGTATCACTATACATATAGTAACAGTTGCTCCTTCTCTCCTCTGTATCCCTTTTCTTCTCCTTCACTCCATACTTTATCCCTGCTACTCATTTTCCCGTCTTTTCTTCGATCTGCTGGATAACCAAACTACGTGGTAGTGAAGTGGATGTAAAACCTATCAATCAATCAAGCAAAGAGAAAAGATATGTTACAAATTTTTAATGGCGATATGACAACTGGAAACAGACTGGCCATGGCTTTGAAGTTTCACATCTTTGAACTTGCTTGCGGAGCTGGAGCTGTCACTTGCCATGTTGGAACGGATATATGAAGACTAAACTCAGAAAAAACAAAATCCGGAAAACATTGCAGGTGTATCGTAACCTCCCAAAAAATATTGTGCATCGTACCGTATTCAAAATATTGCGATATATGGTCACATGATATATCCTTGCAGCCGTTATATACACCAATTATTGAATGAACCTCTTTCATGTTTTTCCTTTTTCTTTTTTCTCTTTTTCATAACATGTAACTATTTGAATCAGTGACTTCACAAGACTTATCTCTCTAACTGTTTCATATTTTATATCACATGCAAACTTATAAGGTGAAATTTGATGTGAGCAATTGATATTTTCTCAACGCACTGCCCTTAAATGATATCTATACAATTATTTTAAGGTCTGGTTTAGAGGTCTATTACAATTTTGCCCGATGCTGGCTGTTTAATCCGTGCATGCTTACCAGCACACGGGGGTTAAATAGTTGAGACCTCTCAGCTGACCGATCCTGGTACATGTAGCACTATACACTATTGTTACTAAAATCCAAAATTCCTTTAAAAAAAAAATAAGAGAAAAAAAATCAAAAACAATCTTACAGAATTTATTCAATGAAAATACTAGATCTTTTTCTGACCATAGTTATGTTTCTCTGTAAGTCCTCAAATTTATTTTTGTATTTACAAGTTACAATATTAAGTTACGATGTTTATTCGGTCAGATGTTAGTTAATATAATATATAACCAGTCTACCTCATTCAAAATTTGTGAAATTTCAGAAACGAGAAGTGGTCATTTCAACATTCAGATCAAGTATATTTTGGAAATTTTAAGAAATCTGTGCCAAATTTGTATCAATGTTTAATTTATTTAAAATTAGATTGTGTTTGTTACGAATTCTTGTGAGTTTACGTTCATGTATGTATATATTAATTGAGAAGATGTTCAAAAGTAGTTTATACATACGTACATACTGAAATCTTCTAATTCATTTGAATCATTAATCTTCATTCTTTAAAAATATTTCATAAAGTAAAACTTGCTGAAACTCAGACCTTTCTAAATGGTGATGAATTATATTGAAATTGAAAGAAAATTAATGTACTGCCACCATTTTTCGAGAGAAATTTTTACACTATAAAGCGGTAGAGGAAACAAGGATGGCCGTTATATCAAGGGTTAACATATAAATGAGCTCATCCAACTTGATATACGATGTCTTTGAATGTTCCTGTCCATCCTTTGACCCTAGACACCCCCTCCCACTACTCCTCACAGGATCTGTACCTTTGATCAAGGAGTTGGAGCCCTACAATGGCCCCAAATAGCTTCAATAGCTTTGTGTTGTCATGAAATAAGTTGGATGAGTGGTTATTCCCTCCCTCCTCCCCTCCCCCTGTCAAATATTGATAAAAAAAAAACTTGATCAAACATTATAAGCTTCGAAGAATGGCTGATGCTGTCTCTAAATCTGTATCATGGGATTGATTCCATTTTTTGTAGCGAAGTGGAGATATGCAAGTTTTTTTTTGTTTTTTTTCCATTTTTTTTTTATATAAAGTTCATTTTTAGGGTGGAATGGGGCTTTTACAGAAAAGTTTCTCTGAATTCCTAAATTCTATTTATGCAACACTTTTATGCAAGAAATTAACTAAAATGTCCAAAATTTCATTTACACCTGCAATCTGTTAAACTGATATAAAGTGTATATATATATCTTTGTACTTTTGTTCTGTTGCTGGAGTTGACAGTGTTGTTATTGTGTAATAAATTGTATTTTTTGTATCACTATACACATACAAAGTATCAGATAGGCTGTCCAGAGAATTGAAAATATTGTGTTGACAATATCTAAATACTTTAGTATTTCACGTGTCCAAACTACCACTTGTTGTAATTATTTTCTGTTTTTATGCAAGGTAGAATGATTCTCTTGTAAAGGTAGAATGATTCACTTGTAAAGGTAGAATGATTCTCTTGCAAAGGTAAAATGATTCTCTAGTAAAGGTAGAATGATTCTCTTGTAAAGGTAGAATGATTTTCTTGTAAAGGTAGAATGATTCTCTTGTAAAGGTAGAATTATTCTCTTGTAAAGGTAGAATGATTTTCTTGTAAAGGTAGAATGATTCTCTTGTAAAGGTAGAATGATTCTCTTGTCAAGGAGCATTATTAGCTCACCTGCCCGAAGGGCAAGTGAGCTTATGCTGTGGTGCGGCGTCCATCTGGCTGTCGTCCGTCTGTCGTCAATTTTTCCATTAAAACGACTTCTTCTCAACAACCAAAAGTCCCAGGGTACTGATATTGGGCTTTAGCATGTTGGGATGAAGGGCTACCAAGTTTGTTCAAATGAATGACCTTGATCCACTTTCAAGGTCACAGAGGTCAAATGTCTTAAAATCTTTAAGCAACTTCTTCACAATAACCAAAAGGCCCAGGGTACTGATATTATGCCTGTAGCATGCTGGGATGAAGGCTACCAAGTTTGTTCAATTAAATGACCTTGACCCACTCCCAAGGTCACAGGAGTCAAATGTGTTAAAATCTTCAAACGTCTTCTTCTCAATAACCAAAAGGCCCAGGGTACTGAAATTGGGCCTGTATCATGCTGGGATGAAGGGCTACCAAGATTGTTCAAATGAATGACCTTGACCCACTTTCAAGGTCACACGGATCAAATATGTTAAAATCTTCAAACGTCTTCTTCTCAATAACCAAAAGGCCCAGGGTACTGAAATTGGGCCTGTATCATGCTGGGATGAAGGGTTACCAAGTTTGTTCAAATGAATGACCTTGACCCACTTTCAAGATCACAGAAGTCAACTGTCTTCAAATCTTCAAAAAAACTTCTTCTCAAAGGCCTTGGAGCATGATATTTGGCCAGTAACATGCTGGGATGAAGGACTACCAAGTTTGTTCAAATGAATGACCTTGACATATATTCAAGGTCACATGGGTCAACTTTGTGTAAAACCTTTTAACAACTTCTCAATAAGCAAAAGGCCAAGGGTAATGATATTTGGCCATTAACATGCTGGGATGAAGGACTACCAAGTTTGTTCAAATGAATAACCTTCGCCCATATTCAAGGTCACAGTGGTCAATATATGTTTAAATCTTTAAATGACTTGTTCTGTATAACCAAAAGGTCCAGGGTACTGATATTTTCCCAAAAGCATGCTGGGTTGGAGGACTAAACTCTGTTCAACCCAATGTCCTTGTTCGACATTCAAGGTCATATGTTTAAACCTTTTAATAGGTTCTTATTAATCAAACACTGATATTCTGCCTGTAGCTGTATTTTTTTTTTTTTTTTTT